GTACTTGCTAGAATGCAGAGTTGGGTCAGTCATTCTATTCCAGTTCCTAGATGAGGAACTAAAAATGCATACTTTATCTGGCCATAAACAGTGGAAATATTGGTGGTCACCTAACACCTGGCAGGACATGGCTTTATCTCTGAAGGCTGGGGTGTTCCTTAAGCAGAAGGAGGGGTATAGCTTCTGACAACTTCTCTGTATTCTCTGACTTTATCCTTTGCCCCCTCACTCATTTCCTTGGGTGGGGGGAAGACCTTGAAACTTAATAGGACAAGAATTTCCAAGTAACTACTAACAATTATCTGGATATAGGAATGATTTATTAGGACTTTCAATTACTTGGTGTATGCAGGGTGTTTTGAGTTCTACAAAATGATCAAGGTGTCCTTGGTTGTAGCTGAATTCCCTTCTAGGAAAAGATTCTGTTAAGCAGTACAGACTGGCAAATTGCTTCAAATTTTAGGAACACTTCCTCAGCCACAGATGTTGAGTGTCCTGGCATGCTGAAAGTCCTAGGTAGGCTCTCTCATCACCTGGTCCAACAGTTTGAAGCTGAGAGGTGCAGTGAATTTAGGATTATCATGTTAGGCACTGTCCACAGGGTTTCAGGATGAACAGTAATTTCTGAAAACTTGAGTGAAATGGAATAATTGTTTTGAGTGCTGCTTGTATATGTAGTGGGGCAGTTCAGCAGAGCACTGTGCTACTTAAAGTCTTTATACCTGGGACCTGACCCTGAGATTGGAATGAATGAGAGAGTAGAGGGCTCTTGACTTGGGTAAACTAAGTGCCAAATTTAAAACTTGAGAAAAGCTAGCTTGAGGAAGCAAAAACAACTCAAAAATGTCAATCTGTTAAGTATGAGATACAAGTAAGGTGTATAATCCAATCTAAGGGCCATATGGTGGATATATATTGTTTTATTTTCCAAGGAGCATTATTTACTCTTTTGGAAAATAAATAGACCACAGAGTAGGCAACTTGATCCAAGTTAGAGTAATCATTATACTTCCTCACCACCAGTTACTGACTCAAGATGGACCACTGCTAATTCATATGGTGTCCTTACACAGTGAAAGTGAGAAGGGGCTCTCTGGGGCTTTTTCATAAGAAAACAAATCCCATCTATAAGGGCTCTGCCCTCAGGACTGAATTCCCAAGGAGCCCCACCTCCTATCCTAATACCATCACCTTGGGATTTAGGATTTAAAGTGCATTTTGGGGGAGGGTATTCAGACCATAGCAAAGATCAAGTATAATAAAATGAACTGATTGCAGTTAGGAAAGAGGGCAGGAAGAAATACTCTGAAGAAATCCTACTTTATATTAGAGTCATGTGTAGAATTATCTAATTATTCCTCCTGGGATTATGTCTTGTTAAATCTAGTGACACATCTACTCCAGAGCATAGATTCTTGCAAGAGTAATCATTTTAAAGCTATTTATTGAATGGAATTAATTTCAAAACACACACAGAGACAACACTTTATCCATTCATTCATTTTGTTAAGCATTTATTGAGCAGCCTGTTTGCAATAGACACAGTTCTAATTACTCAGGATACTATAATAGGTATTTGTATTTAACCTTCGAGATCACATTTGCTTTTTTTTTTTTCACCAATATCATAATGAGTACATAGCCATCATGCCAAAAGCAGTTGATATACTGCAAGGAGACATTCTCTAGTCAAATGGAGACAACCTAACAAAATATATGAGTGAATAAGAAGTTCTAGCTGTCAATTTGTTGCTCCCTAGATGTGAAATATTAGCTATGCCATTTAGCTTCCCAAAGCCTTAGTTTTCTCATTAATAACATAAAGAAATTTAACTGGATGATCTTTCAGGCTTATTTTAGCTAAAAATAAACCTACAGTATCTTTTTAAATCTCACAAACCAGTGATTTTCAAAGTGTGATCTCTTACCAGTAGCCTAGAAACTTGTTAAAGTATCTCCCATCTCCCAATGCAGACTATTTTGGTTAGAACAAAGCCTTTTTCTTTTTCTTTGTTTTTTATTCTTCACGTTTTGAAATATATCTAAGGACTTCATTGGCTCTTATAAACAAAAATAAGTTCATGTAAGAAAAAAATGAAAGTCTTTATTAAGAGTAACTTTACATTATGCATATCAGTCTTTGAGAATCAATGAGGGATATTATTATAGTGTGTCAATAATAGTCACTGCCAACAAAATGGGACAAAATATTTTGGGAATGTTCTTGTGCTCTTTGAGAATTAAAAATTATTCATTATCATAGGATTTCCTTCTGCAGTTTAATTATTAGGTATCAAATGCAAAGATGAAGCACACACACTCACTTGAGAATATTAATAAGGGTTTATAACTGAAGAAGCAACCACTAGATGATCTCCCATAATTTACTAAAAATTCAGAAAATGAAGAATAAAGAGACAGAAAAAATAACACATTGGGTGTACATTTGCATCCATAAATGAGTAAGACCCTCCTCTATTTAGAATGCTGTTATCCTAAGTTTATAAGTAATGCGTTTTGGGTGTGTAACTGTTTGCAACTAGCACTAGATCATAAGCAAACTTATGGAAAACATCAGAAATTTCATTATTGTCACCTTTATTGTGTGGTTGTTTTGGTCCAAATCATCATATATACTGATCTCTGATAATTTAGGATAAACCAAAGGAATGAAAGATTTTTTCCATAAGGGCAATACAAAAATAGGGAATAAATAGATTTTATTTATATTCATGTATTCTTTTCATTCTGCCCCATTCACCTGTATATTTCTAACTCTGTAAAATTTTCTTTTTTAGAAATATTTTATGGAAATTTGCTTTAAGCAACCTTAAATGACTAGAAGACACTAATAGATACCACTGGTTTCTCAGTTTGGTCCTAGAAATCAACTTTAACTTTTCTGCTTTCAGTTAATTCTATATTGTAAATAGATATGGATTCAGGTATAGATAGATGATAGCCTTTAATTAGTAAATTGTGTTGAGTAAATTGTAATGTGGGTGTGGGTGGTGTTTCTCAGAGTAATAGTTACAATTTGACTTTGATCCAGAATAATTTGATTCAGTAGCTGTAATGAATACCATAGAAGAACAGATTTTTTTTTTAATCTTTAGTGAAGGAAATTTAGAGTAGCATGGGAATATTCCTATATTGTAGGAAGATTATTTTGTCCCTGGGAAGGAAAACACTACTTTCTTTCTTTGTCTCTAATACTCTTGCCTAGAATCACTAAACTTTGAGTTTCAGGGGCTTCTTTATTCACTTGCCTACTATTGAGAGTCAAAACTTCAAATCTAGAAGAGCTGTTTCTCTTTTACCCTAACACTAGCTCCTGTCATTCCTAACCATTTGTCTTTCTTTGATACAAGAGTTTCATCAAAGATCAGGAATTTCCAGTGGGGAAATTGTTAAGCCTGATATAATTATTTTTACTGTTGCATTTTTATAAAATAGAGAAGAACCTGAAGAGATAAAGGAAGTTAAAAGAATCCATGCTGCCTACCTCAGAGAACTCAAGCACATTATTTAACCCTTCTAGTCATTTATTCTCTTTTTCTCCTCTCCAATTTTGCTTGCTGCAAAGTGGTTCTTTTATTCTTTTCTTATTTAATTCATCCTGCAGCAGCATCGGCTTGCTTTCTTCTTTTTCCTCTGATTGTTCAATGCAATTTTTGGTGCTGTATTCTTTTGACACTACTTCTAAATTTTTTCTTCTGTTCTCTTTTGTCCTCTATATTCCAAATATGACTTCCAAATATTTTGTCACGATGAATTGTTCAGAATAAAGAGGGTGATTGATTAAGAGCCTGCAGAACTGGGCAGAGGAGAGCTGTCATGATATTCTCCAGGTACAGAAGCATGTTGGAGCTACCTGGAGTGTGAGAAGCAAGAAAGAGAGAGCCCTGCTAAGGCATGACCAAAAGGGGAAACCTATTAAAAGAATGATCTGGAGGAGTGTGCACTGAAGAAAATAGAGTCAGCCTGCCAGGTCAGTAGCTAATAGCCCATGGGTTTGCTACTAAGGAAATTAAAACTCTAGCTAATGAGAATGGTAGCCACCTACTGAGAATGAATTGAAGGCTTCCTATTAACTCCCCTCCCTGGGTCTTTTTGACAGAACAGTAAGAAAGTTATTTCCTATTTGTTTAGTAGCAAAAGACTTGAAATGGAGAGTAAAAAATGATAGAAGAGAAATTGCAGACATGCTCTTATTTGGTTCTTTCAGGAGATCCAAATAGGATGTTTTTCCCTCTCATTGAGACCGTAAATCAGCACAGGTCACTTAAAGAGGAAGGTCAGCTAAAAAAAAAAAAAAAAGAAAGGAAGAAAGAAAAAGAAAAGGAAAAAAAAAAAAAGTTGGCCCAGATAAGTAGTAGCCAAGATGATTCAGACAGCTTCTGGGGTTATGGAGGGACTTTTCCTTGGGACTTCAGATTAATAAATCCGCTATTAGCTTTGTGGAATTAGCAGGATTAGGCTATCTCTTTCAAGAACACTGGTTAAATTTCACGAATCAAGTAGATAAGGGGTCGCTATTATGCACATCTTCTTTTTCCCGCAGAAGCAAGAAGTCTGCGTAAGTCGCGGATACGATGGGATAGCGATTGGAGCCCTCTGGACCTCATTTGGTTCTGGAAAAGCTTTTAGAATCACTTTACTGACCCTGACTCCAACTACCGATCCTCCTGTGGTTGTTTCTAAATCGATCCGAGTCTCTGCTAGCGGGCGAAGCAAAAGGAATCCAGGCTGGATGTGAGAAGACACGCAGCAGGCTGATGGGGGCACTTCGGAACCAAGACAGGGGCCGGGCAGGACACGAACTTGTGTCCCCGCACTTTGATACCAAGGTGGTCTGGGAGAGGGCGGGAGGGAAGCGCGGAGGGGACCGCGGCTGACGGCGGGCGCCACTGCCGGGCGGCGGCGGCGGCGGAGCGCGCGTGTGCGCGCTGCGCGCGGCGGGGGAGGCGCAGCGCGCTGCTCGCCGGCTGCAGCCCCGCGCCGAGCGCCGCGGCTCGGGAGTTGATGGCAGCACCACGGCGCGGCCGCCCGGCCGAGCGCGCGGCGCAGCCACACGCCGCTGCCCGGGGAGCGCCCAAGATGTGGGGAGACCGGGGCGGCAGCGGCCGTAGCAGCGCCAGGGACGGGGGCGCACAGCAGCCTCCGCTCGCCCGCCTGTCCTGACCTGCCTCGCCTGTCCCCAAAGAATGTCAGCCAAGTCCAAGGGGACCCCCTCCTCCTCCGCTCCAGCCGAAGGACCGCCGGCAGGCTCCAAAACCAAGGTGAAGGAACAGATCAAAATCATCGTGGAGGATCTGGAATTAGTCCTGGGCGACCTGAAGGACGTGGCCAAGGAACTCAAGGAGGTGAGCGGCGCGGGCTTGGGGAGGGAGCCCGGCACCCTTCGCCCCCTCGGGGTTCCCGGTCCCGTTTTGGCCAGGGACTGCCAAATTTGTAAACTCCTGGGAAACTACAGAAAGACGCCTGCAGCCTGACTTTCTTTGCTCTGGGGACTCCACTCCGGAGAAGAGTTGTTGTTGCACTTTTTTTTAATCGGGAAGAAATCAACTAGTGTTTTAATCGATGGCCCTGGGATGGTGGGGACGGCGAACGCGCGCGTGTCTGTATCCGTGTGCCAGGACGGTGGCGGGTAACGGGGTATCGGGGGTGTGTCGGCACGGGAAGACGTGAGCAGCCCGGCCCGAGCGAGCACGATGCCTCTCTCCTGCCCTCCTGCTCCCCCAGAGCCTTTGGCAAGTGCGCGCCCTGTCTGGCAGCCTCCCGGGTCGGGGCCAAAGGGGGGCCGGGCCCTGGGCCAGGCCAGGGAGGGCAGCCTCGGGGCAGCTTGGCTCCGGCTTCCCCCCCTGTCTCCTGAGCCCCTCGGGAGAGAGGCGACTTGGGCTGCCGGCAAGCGAGTCCAGCCTTGGGGACGTGCAGGGGGTCTGGGACTTTCTCACTTTCGCAGTTGCTGGAGCATCCCCTGCTTTCCTACGAACGTCGCTCGCAGTAACTCTGGGCCTTCCCACCACCCCACCTCTCCTCCCTTCCTTCCACCCTGTCCCCACTTGTCATTGAACCTGGGGAGCAGGGCGCGCAGGCGAGTGTGCGTGTGCGTGCGTGTGTGTGCCGAGCGCGCGCCGGGGGCTTGCCCTGGCGCCCTGGCTGTTTGGGACTGAGACAGTTCTGGTTCTCACACCCTGCCCCCATCCCGCTTCTGTGCGCCCCGCCATCCCCACCCCTCCGTGATCCGGATGGAAAGGAGCCGAGGTGGTGTCAGGTCTGAGGCTGCGTGACCCACGCGGCCGCTCCGGGCGGGGCGGGCGGGGTCTCCGCGGTGCAGCTGGCGCTGGTGGCGGCGCGGAGCCGGGCTCAGTCCCCGCGCGGTGTCCCCTACGGGACGGGCGCCGCCGCGGTTCTCGGCGAGGGAGCCCCGGCCCCCGCGGCGCGAGAGCTGGGACTGCAACTTCCAAGGTGGTGGCACCGCGGGAAGGGAAGGGGAGGGGCGTAGTCCGGGTCCAAAACTGTGATCCTGTTTCTGGAGCCGAGGAGGAGGAGACTGAGGGTTGTCTGGTTGCCTGGCCTCTGGAGATCCACGTCCTGTATTCGATTTCCAATCCAAATTTGAGGAGCGTCCCCTAGTCCTCCCCTCCCCACCTTGTTACCTCTGTGAACTAAACTCCACATTTGTCACCAAATACGATTCTGTTGAAATGGCCCATTCGTCCTCGCCGGGGCTCGGTTTGCCAATGGCAAATGCCATCTCTGTAGTTTGTGTCACAGACAGACCGTGATGACTACCGAGGTCCTGAGAGTGGCTGTTGAAATAGATGCAGGGATAAAACTTGTCCGTGTTTTCAGGGCTTCTCTAGGATTATTGCTTCACAACTGGCTGACAGATGGAAGGGGTTATGCATTGAAATTCAAGTCTAAAGATGTTCGTTTCTTTGTTATTCTTTTATTTGACATCTTTGGCAGGCTGTGTTTTCCTCTGAAACATTATGGCGTTTTAAAAAATGAACAAATGGGACATGCTCATTTTGGCAAATTATGCTTTATAGTTGAGATTTCTAAGGTGGAGGATGTGTTAAACCTGCAGCAGCACAGTAAGGCATTTACTGTTTTTATTAGGCTGAGATTAAATGAAAGGTAGTCAATCAAAATTCTGCATCTGTGGGCCATACTTCCTTATGTTATTCGTGGAATAAATTACAAGAAACTGCACATAGTCCTGGCTCTGCTTTGCGTCATTATTCTATGGGCATTTGGAGACCTAATAGATCTATAGTGAAACTTTTAACCTCCCTGTGGTTCTTGGTTAGAATCACAAAGGTGTAAATCAGGGAGTCTCTTGATCTCTGTCTGTCTTCCTTTACTTGAGGATTTGTAAGGGAAAAAAGGTAGTTTTTAAAAGAAATTTTAAAAAGCATAGATGATGTATTACTACAACTAAGTAGATGAAGAGATCTAACAGGTCTAGAGATAAAATTTTGGCTTGATGTTTTGGAAACTTTGATTGATTACCCTGGCTTGTTTGAGTAAAAATCTCACCATGAAACTCAATTTTATGAATGATAAATTCTGTGATGTGTTTGTTAATTACTTTTGTGTGAACATCATCATCCTAGTTTTGCACATGGAGATGTATATGCTATGGCTGAATCTCAAAACATTGAACTATGTAATGTGAATGAGAGTTATTTTGAGAACAAAATACTTATAGGACATGTTTAACCAATGACATCTTGCAGTTGTCCATCATTTATCTTTATGGAATAATCCTGCATATGTGACAGAACATGTCTTTGATGTGGTTTTGAATAAAGGAATAACACTTTGATTACTAAAAAGCCTTTGGTTTCTATACCTATGACTTATAAATATTGCTATTAATTCATCAGTTGTCATATTCAGTAATCTGGTAGTTTATAATTAGTATACATTCACTGTTATATTTAGAATTCTAATTTCTTCATTGGCAGTGCGATTTTTTTAGACTATGATATATTTTGATATAATTATCAGCAAGCTTTTATTAACTTAGAACAGAAATTAAAAATAAAGGAGTGGTTATGACTAGATCACTATGTCAGTTACCATTTGTTTTTCCTTTCTACTTTTTTTTTTCAATCTAATTAAAATGTAGTCTGTTGTTTTGAATACTCTGTTTTTATGGTTACATAAGCTTTTAGGGTTGGGGAACCTGTGGCCTTAAGGTGAAATGTGGCCTTCTCTATCCTGAAATGGGGCCTTTTGACTAAATCCGAATTTTACAGAACAAATCCTTTTATTAAAAAGGGTACAGCAGAGAAAGATGAAGCTTTTCTTGCCTCCTTGGTGTTTGAAAAAGAAGAATCTTGAAATCAGAAGACTGCAGGTTCCTCTCCCCTGAATGGTTTGAAGTTATTCTGAAATTGCTTTTCTTTGTAGAAGTTTTCTGAACTTGAGTCATTTGAAAATTCAGGTAGTAAGGTAGATTCAAACGTAATAGTAGCTACTTGAAACACTTTAATAAGTAGTAACAAGACTCCAGCCTATCTAGAAAGAAGAATTGTTGTTATGGGTGTCTGTTTTATGATTATTTAGTTATAATTACTTAGCCAGTTATAATTGTATTGAATATTGGGAGAAGAGGAATAGGATTTCTCGAATGTCTAAGGGCAGTTTTATTCTGCCCTAAGAATTTAGTAAATTTCACATAACTTGACTTTTCAGAAATAATATGGGTATTTTGGTCTTCTATGGAAAAGTCTTAAATATAATTTAGTATATTTGTTCAGCAGTTACCATGTTTCAAGTACTATACCATCTTTTTATTGCTACCAAGATGAATAAGTTGTACTTTCTGGTCTCAGTGCATGCAAAGGGTTAGTTTGGGATGTATTTATCCTGTCTTAATATCATGTTATAAAAAGGTATTGTAGCCTTTAGTGGCCTCTCTCATGATAGGCTTGGCAAAGAAAGCAGAATTGAGAATAAGAAAGACTCGATGTTGATTCATAAACCAATATATGCTGTGTACTTAGTATAATAGTGTGGTAAAACTTTGATGAAGAAAGTAGAAGCCTAAAACTATGACAAGGTATAAATTTTAAGAAATTTACAATTTATTTAGGTTGTCATGATTAACATAATGGATCAGTATCATATATGGGCGATCCCATATACAAATATATGATAACTAAATATTGAAATTTTTCAGGAAGGGAAGTCCATTAGAGAAATGAAGAGTCAAAAAGGAAGATTTTTGAATCCCTTGTTGTAATGTGGATAAGATTGGAAGAGGTAGACAGGAAAAGGAATTAATAGGAAATAGCTTTTGAATATAAGATTAATCCATTTTGCTTTTTTATACCCATTGAAAAAAGAAAAAAAAATAGTTGTGAAACTCTAGAACTTTAGAGATAAAATTAACCGCAAGTAATAGAGCAGGTGTGAGTAATACTTTTTCACTAAGAAATGTAGAAACAAAGCTTTTGCTTTTATAAATAGTTCTGAAATAATCTGACATTGTTGGGGAGCAATTTGCTTGTTCTTTTATGATCTCACTGGTAAACTGTTTTGTATCAAATGTTAGTGTTAATATGGGATCACAGATCTTGTTGGTTAGAGTGACATCAGAATCTCTAATATTTTTATCTGGAAACAAAATTCATCACTGCTTTTGCTGGATTCTCTTTTAGACTTAATTATAACCTTGAGCATTTTTATAGCATTTCATTTTATGATTTCAAGTAACATGACTATTATATGAGTTGAACTACATGTATGTATATATATACATTTTTTGTTTTGGAGGGGCATAGTGAGTAGACATAACTCTTATGGAAGAACCAGTTAAAATGCGAGGTTTTGTTAGTGCCCTAGAAGCAGTCAGTGATTGGACCCTATGGATGAGAAGTTGTGCCAGCATTGTAGCTGTGAACTATAAAGGACTCATGGTTTTTCTTATAAAGTCATAAACATAAGTACATTAAACTTAAGTTTAATTTTGAAAAATTTGACCTATAGTAAATGGTTGATTTTGGGCAGATAAAAACAGAATTAACAATTATCTGCAAAATATATATTATGCTTTTAAATGTTGTCTCCTTTTTAATGGCTTATCCACTTGAAGTTCCATAGTTTATTGCTCTGGGAAATCGTACCAAGTAGCTTTTTGGTTAACAAGTTCATGCATATAAAACTCATTACTAGAACAAATTATAGAAAATAATCTCTGGAATAATTTCCAAGTTCTAAAGTTATGAATTAATGAAATTTAATAGTTCATTTTATTGTAGCAATAGCTGTACTTTTACTGCTCTATACAACAGTCTACCTCCTCAAATTGAGGTACATATACCAAATGCTAAAATATTTTAAAATT